TCTAATCCCTCCAGCTCCATGTTAACTGGAACTCCAACAAATGAATACTTGAACAAATAGTCTGTCGGTAAGCGTTTTGGTTAAATGAGAGAGAGAGAGAATCTTACGATTCACTATTGAAATTGGGTGAAAGATGAACAAATTGGGTTGCTGGAATTTGAGCCTTAGGACTAATTTTATATCACAGAGAAGTTTTTTTACGACTCCCCTGTTTCTTGATTTGTCGTGGCCTTTAACATGGTCTCTCTCTCTCTTCCTTGGAAATAGAGACAGACTTTGAAAAGAAAGATCAGAGACCTGTCACAGACTCCATTTGTGAAAGAAGTTTTGGGTGTATCGCGTATTTATAAACAGCTGTCAGAATGCTTGGTGTGTAGAAAACTAATGGAGATGTAACGCTTTCAGAGCTGTCAATGAATCGGGTCTACCGATAGAACCGAAATAATCGAACCGATTTGTCAGTTCCGTAATTCAATTAATAATAATTGAATTAGGACCATTTTCTTTACTTTTTTCCTGTAATATAATTCTTCTTGTTATGTGAAAATGGGTAAATTTCGAAGACAATATTATAAAAAATGAAATATCAAGTTATTATTGGATCAGACCCAACTATCCTAATTAATGATTTGTTTGGCTCTGATGCATCTGTTTTATAGAACTGATTAATAATCGGATCATCGGTTTTAGACTGATCCATCCCATCCAGGTCGAGCCCGACGCAATCCATAGACGACTTGACAGTCTTAAATATTTTTACAGCACTACTTGTTTGACCAAATCAAATTGAGAATGAAATGTATTTTCAGGTATCCTAAATTATCATGGTTCCCAATATAATGAAAATTAAATATGGGTATTATGGTTCCCAATATGGGTATTATGGTAAATTAATGAGGCCGAATTATCAATAATGTGACAGATTAGTAACAGGCTCAATAATGCAAATACATACAAAATATAAGATTTTGCGTTCTATAAATTTGTATTTATACTCTCTTCAAACTGAATCATAATTACACAAGCAGCAACCAATTGCACGATAATGGAAGGGGGTAAAAGGCCAAGGGGAATTGGCTATAACTTGCTGGTTGCAACTTATCATCTGAGAGATATTCAGAAATCCATACCCATTGTTGGATGGCGTACAAGTACAACACACAATCAAGATTCAAAGTATTGTTACACATTCTGGGACCTTCCAATACGCCCTTATAGTGGGTGTATCGGGGGTCTGACTAGTTCAGGGGATGAAAGGGTCTTAGATTGGTTCCCCTGAATCAGTTTTGAAAAATAAATAAATAAGTATCAAAACGCTGGATACGCCTCTACCAATATATTGGGTGTATGGATATTTTGAAACTTACACAATTCAATTTATTATAAAGCAAGTTAAAAGGAGGTATTCACATTCAAGGCGGACCCTTTTTAATGGTGGCTCCTCATTCCTCAACATCACGTAAGGTAGGAAGTGTGGAAAGTTAATTTTATTTTGGATTGGTAATAAATATAGCAAGCTTTTGCCACGAAGAGATTTTTGGGAGTTGAGGATTGTCAACTTCCTAGCCTTTAATGGGGGGTTTTGTCACCATGTCATTTGCAGTCAACTAACCAATAAAATGACAACGTTGTCTATATGCAACATTAATTTGGTGCTGCAGGGGTACCGGTCATATGCAAAAAAGAACCATTATGATGCCGGAAATACATTTTATCGGAAAAACTTATAATCAATCAATTGGCGTCATGATAAATTCGCAGGGGTAAACAATCAGATGGGTTTTCATCAAAATCTATGAGTGTTTTGATTTGTCGAAGTCTTTCTAATATCATAGATTTATTCATTTTAATATCAACTCTATGTGACACGTTAGCCCCAATCTAATAAGCACAACATTGTAACTTGTAAGTATACTCAACGAAGTGACTAACATTCAAAAAGTGCGCTGGCGGTCTTTTGTAGGAGCTCGAATATGTTTCATAAAAGTGTTTTTATGAAAGTATTTATATACAAAAATGCTTTTGTAAAGGTAATTTTGTAAAAATATTCATAAAAATATTTTTGTAAAAGTTTTTTCATATAAAAGTGCTTTCATAAACATGCTTTCGTAAAAGTACTTTATTTTCATAGAAGTGTTTTGGTAAAAATACTTTACTTTCCTAAAAGTAACAATATTGCTGTTAAAAGTAAAAATACTGAAAGGCTATAATTAGTCTTCTAAAAGTTTACCGGGAACAATTTTGAGAGAAAAAAATTGAATAAGTGCTTATTGTATGAACACTTAAATGGAGTTAGAAATTTGAGCTTAAAAAATAAACCCTTATTTTTAAAATAAACACTTATTTCAAACTTATTTTCCAAATACCAATAAACACTTAATAGTGTGATCCCAACATAAATAAGCACTTATTTTTAAGCACTTCCAAGCATATCCTTCAAAGATAGGCTGAAGGTATTTTAAGGAAACTCAGTGTCATGATATGTGAACCCTAACTACCTGATTGGACTGATATACATCCATGCTTTTAGCATTTAAATTGTTGCAACGAGTCCCTACTCCCTATGGACTGATATACATCCATGCTTTTAGCATTTAAATGCTTGAGGAGTTCTTTGGACAGCACAGTTTACATAGAACGTTTATAGCAAGATTTTTATCATAATAGGCTTGGTTCATCTTAATGAGTAATTTTTCTTTTATACCTTTTTTTTTTTTTTACTTGTGTATGCGCGCATCGCTTGTGATAAAGATGAATAGGGTCATTGGCATACAGACATCGGGATATGCTGCAAATACAACCATGCATGACAGACTACGTAACTAATCACGAATGAACCCGCGGTTATCAATCATCAAACCACCATACCTCAATTAATTAACAATCCCTATGGAAGATGAAGAACATTGACCACTTTGACCATTTGATTTTGATTCATTCCAATTACGAATCTGATCTGAATTCAATATTTTGAATTTTAGATCATATTTAAATTTAATCCGGCTCTGCTCTAGTGTTATTAAAATAAAGAAAATTTTTAAAAGTTAATTATTTTTAACTTATACATATAGGGAAATTATCTAAACTCGCCATGACTTTTCTGCATTTCTCTTAAATTCACCATAACTTTTCAATACGTCCAAGGAACCTCATGTCAGTAAGTTGATATTAAATAGACTAATGGATGTTGGTAGATTACCATTTTATCCTTTGTTCTATTGTAAATGAAAAATAAAACAAAACTTTGATAAAAATACAACAAAAATATATCTCAAATATTTCAGTCTAAAAATTTTTTTGCCCATTTTACATATTTAAGTAAAAACAGAGCTTCAAATAATAAAAAAAAAAGAACGCTTTTGATTCAAATCAAATTCATTGATGCTCCACATCTACTGAAACAACATAGCTATAACTTTATTTCTTTTAATTTCAAATACAACAAGAACTGAGATCAAGAAAAGATATAATGTCAAGAGGACACATGG